TTTGGATTACCTCCCACATGCAATCCAATGATAGTGAGTTCGAACAGAGTGACAAGTCTAGTCTGCTCTCTCTTGCTGGAGGTTTGGCTATTCGAGTTACTTCACCGGTGTTTAGAATGGTCATATTGAAATCGTCGCATAGGTCATAGATGATGGTTGAGCGGTTGTCATCGTACAGCTCTCCCCAGCCTGTACCGTGGGAATTAAAATCCCCTAAGATCAACCGCGGCTCAGGTAGCACTGAGCAGATGTCAGATAGCGCTCGCCGAGAAACAGCCGTTCTCGGAGGGATGTATAACGAGGCAATACTGAAGGTTTTACCTCTAATATTCACCTGACATGCGACAACTGACACTGGAGGAAGGTCGATTCTGTAGAATGAGTGTTGTTTGTTGACCCCTAGGAGCACCCCACCGTGCGAATCTGCACGATCGAGACGGATAATGTTGTAGTCGTGAAGAGAAAGGTTAACATCTGGAGAGAGCCATGTTTCGCAGAGAGCAAACGCATCACAGTGTATGTTATGCAGTAAAAATTTGAATACGTCTAGTTTTGGTAAAATGCTTCTACAATTCCATTGAAGGAGAGATACCGTATCATTTTTTGGAAAATTATCCATCCATGTTAATGATGCTCCGTAGAGGGTCAGTGATGTTGAACAGATCGAGAATGCTGTCCACAATTCCAGAAAGCGGGAACATGGCGTTCTGCTGTTCTGGTTGCGAAACTGGGACATCTGGGGTGTTAGATGTTCCCGGAAGCCCCGGAAATTCTTTGTCATAATCGACAGGCTTCAAACCCGGTGGATTGGGTTTCGGTTTATTTCCGTGACCTCTTGATTTATCCAAGGGGGCTTGGGAGTCAATTTTTTTAGTTTTCTGTGAGTCTTTCTTGGTTCGCTTCCTTGAAGGACCTTTGAAAACAAAAGGAATTCCGTCATTGCCCTCTGAGTCAGTGTTGTCCTCGTCAGCTGGGAGAAGATTGAACGGATTATTGTTTTCTTTTTCCTGAGTGATTTTGGGAGGAGGATTGAAAGTCTTCAAGATCTCCGCAAAGGAACGCTGAGAGCGCGCCTTCAGAGACCGTTCAAGTTTTTTTCCTTGATTTTTATACTTCGGGCAATCTGCGAGAGGATGCGGAGGTGCCAAACAATAAACACCTTTGGGAGGAGCACCACAAGCACCCTCCGCATGCTTCTCGCCGCACTGATCGCATCGTGGCTTGTTGCTGCAGAAAGCGGCGGTGTGGCCTAATTGTTTGCACTTGGTGCAGTTCATCACCCTTGGTACAAACAACCGCACAGGAAGTCGAATCCTCCCAATTCGGACATAATCCGGCAGAGTCGATCCGGAGAAAGTCACTCGAAACGAGTCAGTCAGCGAGTAGATTTTTTTTGTCCCGTCGAGGGATGCTGACTGCATTTCGGTGCAGTCAAGAATCTTGACTTCTGGAAGAACGGGGTTCTTGAAGACACCAACCCCCCTCTTCAAGAAGTCATCGCAGGTCAAACTCGCTTCGGTGACCACTCCTTCGATTTACACGTCACGACTGGGAATGTAAACGCGGTGCTCTAACGTAAAAAGCTCGCAGGCAACGATCTCATTCGCCTGCTTCCGGTTACCAACAGTGACGCGCAGTTTGTCTGGCCTCACCTTCAAAATGTCGGTCACTGACGAGAAACGTTTAAATAGATCTTTTTCGATCTGATTAACGTTAAGCGGTTTTTGTTTGGGTCAGAAAAAAACAACCCATGGGCCTATCGAGGCGTCTGGGTATGCCTTATGGCGGGGGGCAGTTTTTGTTTTCTTGGCGGGGTTAGACGGAGTAGGGGGAGACGGTTTTGGCGGTGTGGGGGGAGAGGGATTAGGTGGGGTAGGGGGAAACGGGTTTGGTGGTGCGGGGGGTGACGGTGCTGGTGGTGTTGGTGGTGATCGATTAGGCGGGGTAGGAGGAGATGGGGTAGGCGATACGGGCTCCGGTCCTCGTTTTCGCCTGGGCCGCTTCGGGATGGTTCCGGTGTACTTCGTCACCGTGGCTGTCGTTTCCATGTCGGACAGTTCGTCTTCAGTGGGAAGGGCAGGAAGAATATTCCCCCCGCCATCACTATTACCATCCATTGCGGGGTAACTGCCGCCGCAATAGATACAAAACAACTACACACAGGGAACACACAGGGACAAGAGAAAAAGAAGATGAAAAAAATATTTGCGTGGGATGGGAGAAGGGGGAAACGAAAACAAAGGGGCAATAAATAAAACTTATTCGCTACTTAAGGGGGGAAGTACAATAAGAATTTTTTTTTTCGAAAAAAATTTTGTTGGCTTAATTTACTCTATATGTATCTGGGAATGAGTTTTTAAAAGCATAAAGCCGTCCGGAACTTATTTAAAAAGTTATACGCAATTCAGTGAGTGCATGTCAAATGGCTGAACATGTCAAAGTTGAACTTTAAATGCTTCTACTGAAAAGTAGTGTTTTCAAAATCGCCGTGCAATGTACAGGTCAGAGTTTTCATTCAAATCGATTCCGGTTTTCTGTTTTATGTTCATAATTAAATTCTCCACAACATGAATACAAAGATTTTTTAGATTTGTTTGTTATAACATGTTTTTTTATAAACAAAGTCGAAAAAATAGGGTTTTTTAAATTTTATTTTTTCAACTTCAATTTTTTTTTGTGAAAAAAACATTATTTTTACATACGAATTAATTCATGTTGTGCGCTGTACCTTCAAATTTAATGTCCTGTTTTTTTTTTTTTTCAGACGTGATCATGGACGTAGGGACTGCACGGCGCGAAGTGCTGCTTTAAAAAATTGACTTCACATTATTTATAATAATTGGGTTAAATTGCAAAATTTAAAAAAAAATGTCGCTGATAATTAATATTTATTGAATCCTTAATAACATACATAAAGAATCGCTAACATTCATTTATTTCCCTACTCGCAATCCACTCTCAAAGATAGGCCTCATTTTAGGCCTTCTAATTGTACTTCCCCCCTTAACTACACCGGCACAAAGCGTGTGTTTGGAAACGCTGCTATCACGTGGTGCGTTGGTGTTGGTCCACGCTGCTATCCGGTGGTGATGGTTGGTGTTGGTGGGTCGGCAAGATGATGATACGACACGCTTCACTACCACTTGCACACCCACGCGACGGCGTGAAAAATGATGGGCTTGACGACGCCGTTAGCTCCGATGATGGATTACCGGGATGACTTAAAGTTGGATGGTAACTCCAAGGGGCTCGGCCGATGGAATTCCACTTCCTCTGTTGGACACTGGTCACTTGGGGCACCCAATGGGGGGTGAAAAAACCGCTCGGGCGGAAAAAAAACACCGAAAAAAACTAGATGCCGCGCAACTGAAACCGGGACGTTGTTAACCGACTGAATGCTCAACTAGGAATGAGCTAGGCTTTATCAAGCGCTTTTGCTATAACTTTCAGGCCCCATACACAATTAAAACACTATATATTGCCTATGTGAGGTCAATACTGGAATATTGCAGCATTGTATGGTCTCCTTTTTCAATCACGCACGAAGAAAGATTAGAATTCGTACAAAAACAATTTCTATTATACGCTCTTTGTAAATTAGGTTGGACATCATTTCCTCTTCCATCATATGAAGCACGCTGCATGCTTATAAACGTACAAACATTAAAAGAGCGTCGTGAATATGCAATGGTTTCATTTGTAAACGATATCGTTTCGCAGCGCATTGAATCAACAGAACTTTTATCAAAATTAAATTTCCATGCACCTACTCGGCAACTCCGAAATCGAAATTTAATTGCCTTAAAACATCATCGCACAAAATTATGCAAAATATGGGCCATGATGGCCTCTTACAATCAATACTGCGAAACCATTGACTTTACAATGTCTCGGCATAAACTAAAACAATATTTTTACTCCATAAGGCATTATAACTCATAAAAAATAGGAAAGCTGACACTGCTTCGTTTTTATTAAAGAAAAATTATACTTTTAACCTTTTGTCCAAAGTTGACGAAATAAATAAATAAATTTAAGAAAACAAAACTGTATTCTAATATGTACTAGTCTACGTTGGTTGACGAAATAAAAAAAATTAATAAAGAAATCGTACAAGTGACACCATATACATGTAAAAGAAGAAAAAAATCAGTATACTACTATACCTAGATTAAAAGGGTAGCGAATAATTCCACTAAGTAAAAACTTTCTTCCTTAAGGGAGGGCGAATGAACTATGAAAAACGAAAACGAAAGTAAGTACACTAATACATAATTTACATATATAACATTACATTTCACCAAGAGCTATTTTGAAGTCAATATCAAACAACAACAACAAAAATGACATCATTCAATTCAATCATTTTTCCCTATAGGAGGATGGCGTAACATACGCATCCAACATGTCTTCAAATCCAGTCTTTCTTTAATATCAATTTTGACTAGAACTCATAGTAGACCACAGTCGTTGCGTAGTCATCAATTTTCATAGCCCCCGTCAGTTATCGACCCATTGCACTCGTATGTCGCAATCTGTCGTTGTACTGCATAAACCTTTTTTCTCAAGCAATATTTTATGACAAAATAAATCCAAATATCAGTTTACAAAGTCATCATCCCATGGCTGTTTCCAAGCAGTATGCGGCGCCACATGCGCTTACGATGCAGTCTCTCTCTATGTCCCTTTCTCTCGCTCTCTACTTCCTTTGAACCTTTTCCATCAAGCAATGATTGCTGATTGGTTATTTAGTACATAATGACTTCAAGTATCTCTAGTAAATAAAATTTTAGTTTAAGCCTTTACCGAAAAATAAAAATCAATCGGATTCCAACCCTCGATTTAGACTGTTGTTATAAAATATCACAGACACCATCCCTGCTATTGGTACTCACCAAATATTCAGTTTAAAAATACAGTTAAATGATCCAACACACTCTAAAGACTAGTACTTACAATGAAATTCGGATGGAATACAATAATAAAACATGTCAAGCAGATAATTATTATATATTCTGTACAACACAAACTATTATTATAAATTACAACAGTGTAAAGATACATTAGGAGACTTAAATTGTATACTTATGGACAGAACTGTAATGGATTCAATACTACAACTTATTTTAAGTTTCGATCATACCTCTATTACATTCCAAAGAATCACTGCGAACATATTTTGACTAATTTTGAGATTCGTTTTTGTAGATTTGCTGCATTAAATATGACTAGAACTTTACTACAATATTATTCGCCTAAAATGTGTCTTTGATGCCACCAATCCTTGCATACTTTGTAGCACGATAATAATTATAATACCATTGAGCTAAGCTTCGGTTACCTGTCCCATTGTGCCATTAGTTATAAAGAACACTTACTTTATGATATTAGGTATGACACCTGCTCCTACACCTCCACCGTGATGACGCATGGGTGCTACGAATGTCCACGTGTCCAATTTAGGATCATAAACCTGCAATGATTGACATAGATAGTAAAATTCTACCGCAAGAAAATCCAACAATAAATACTTCTACGGTTGATAAATTCGATTCTCCATCGTAACCACCGATAGCCCATAGTTTGCCTAAAACAGAAATAAATAAATAAAAGTAACAAATTACAGTATACTCTCATTGCTCACTTTTTGAAAGTGTAGTTAGGTAAGAATCATTTGCATAAAGGAAATAGAGTTGCGAACGGAACCGCCCCCTCCTATTCCATGCACGAGGTTTTATCAACAAAATTAATCGAAAACCTATCCGTCCAAAAGATGCTCAAAGATATGTATCATTATGTCGAAAGTAACGCAATATTGATGATGTGAATACATAATTATTGTCAATACTGATGTATTGACGTCAAGATAGAATTCATTGCATTGTCGCGATTATTGTCAATAAAAGCAATCATGTAGGGTCCACTTTATTGTTATCCTGGTAAATATACTTTGACTTAAGTAACATTAGGGGGCCACCAAACGACGTATAATAACTTTTAACTAAAAAACCTGTATTTTTTAGCATGAAAGCTAGCAATCTGCTTTGTATGATTAAAACCTTACTTAATTCGACTTAATGTGTTAACCATTGTAATTACAATGAGATTATATGTGTTTAATTGGAAATAGGAATAACTTTTCGGTCATCAAAACCAATTTTATGTGAGAAAATTGTTTTAAATGTTAATGGGTTAAAAATACCCATTTCCGCTAAAAGCGCCCCTCCTCATTTAGTGGGTAAACCATGGTTTACTCATTAATGGGTAAACCATGGTTTACTCATTAATGGGTAAATGGGAGGTCTGTCAATAAATGGGTGTTTTTTACCCATTGTCTTAAATTGTGTTTACCGTAAAATGGGTAAAAATCACAATTGTTTTCAAATGGAGGGCGCTTGGTTATTTGTCCTCGTTGATATAAAAAATTCTAATAAATTGAAAATAAAAGCAGGTGTTCCGATCAAATTTTATTAAACGAAATATTATAACGCCACATTGGGTAAAACTGAATTGAATTATCCGTAAGGGGCTGTTCATAAAATACGTAGACAGTTTATGGGGGGGGGGGGGTTGACAATTAATCACGGCCCATACAAATTTTAAAATTTTTGTATGGACAATTGTCTACGCAGGGGAGGGGAGCGGAGGGTCATGAATCCCAAAAAACTGTCTACGTAGTTTATGAATAGCCCCTAAGCATCTCCAACGTTTCGGAATCTAACCTTTTCGGGAGATCATTTATTTTCGCTAAAAAATCAGCGGACACTAAAAAATCCGCCGGACAGTAACTGTTTGTATTCCCAATCAGTGACGGTGACGGTGACGGAAATGAGACGATAAAATTTTGAAGTGTTTTTTCACCCATTAGGATACAAAATTTACCCATTATGCTGCCGTGAACTGATTCTTTGAATGGGTATTTTTTCACTCATTTTATAATTTCAAAATTCCCCTATTTTTTGACAGCTGCATACATGTTTTGAAAATGGGTATTTTTATACCCATTAATGGGTTTTCGCGAAACACCGTGTAGGTTCATTTGGAAACGCACATGCTTTTCATCCATAATCAAAATTAATGGAATACATCCGAGAATGCATCTGAATTTAACATAACATTTATATCACATGAATTTTATATGATTTTTCATATGAATTTCATCCGCCTCCTAATACCATTGACAGACAAACAAAGCAGTACCGTTGTACTCCTTTAATCTTAAAGAAGTACGGTAGTACCAAAGAAGAATACTAAGATGAAACTGTCGGAAGAAAAACTATCTATTTTAGTGTCCTCTTTCACAGACCAATGATCCAATGATTACCCCCCGTATGCAAGATAATTTTGTGGTTTTGCGCACTTTTTTTCAAAACAATCACACCAAAATCAAAGATGACCCATTTTTTAATTACTCGATTAACAACTAATCGATTATTTTTTGTTCGCCGTGCTGTCATTTTTCCACCAATGAGAGTGCAGCACATGTTTGAAACGATCGGTGATGATCCTCTGGAGAAGTTAATGCTTACACGGTAAGAAAAAATACTCAAAATTAAGTTTAAAAAAAACTCAACGTTGGGTTCTATCATTTGAGGTCCGTGAGTGAATCAGAAAAGCGGCGTTGGTTAAAATTTACTCAACTATTGAGTAATAATAAATGAACTCAAATATAAGTTTATTTTCATTGAGGTTGCTTTTATGCGCCTTTAACCATTTCATTTTAACAAGCGTTGATAGACGAGTGGTCAACATACGGGCCCCGTAATCTCAACGTCCATGGTTCGGTTCCAGTCTGCTCCGTTTTATTATTTTTTTTTTGTCAACTTGGTCAACGCCAGGATTACTCAAAATTATTATTATTATTATTTAGCTTTATTTAGGAGGCTTTCAGCCTTAGGCTGGTTTTACTCAAAATTGAGTTTACTTCTTTAACTTAATTTTACCTAGCCCCACGGAAGCCACGTGATGAGTGAAAGGAACTCAATTTTGGGTACTTTTTTCTTACCGTGTATATCGGCATGATATAACCGATAACAAATATTTCGACAGTGAGCATGCATAAGGGCGAATACGCGATGATCGATTCTCTTCATCGACTTTCTCTTTGCATTGCTACAGCTAAGCGAAACAATTTTCTAGAATTTGTTCAATGCAGAGTAGTAACAGGTTGTATTGGCTATCAAAAGCAACAGCAAACGCACCGAGAAATGTTAAATCTAGCGAGTTATTAACAAAAGAGCATCGATCATCGCGTATATGCCCTTATGCATGCTCACTGTCGAATTTTACTTTTCGGTTCGTTAATCGATTATTCGAATATAAATCACTAGATGAATGTGAAACGTCATTTCAAATATAAGGACCGGAATTTTAACTTAAAAATTGTCGAGGAAACGCGCGGTGAAAGGATGTTGCTCGTGGATATTGCAGAAGTGTGGTTTACATCTTACTGCAGTCTGAAAAATTATCGAGAAAATCTATCCAAGAAAAAATCGAATAAGTCCACGTAAACAGTACCACTGAACTGTCATCAGATTGAGGTTAAAGGCCCAAACGCAATGTGGGCGGAAGCGGAACGAAAACGGAAAGTTTGACAGTTGTCACTAATGACATCAAGATGCCTAACCGAAGTCGATTTGGATCTAACTAGTTTTCAATCCGACAAGTAGGCTTACTCAGATCGGGTTTTTCCGCTGCCGTTGCCATTCCGTAATTTAAATCATCGACTTTCCCTTTCGTTAATAACTTGGCTATAACAACGATTCTTGTCGTGTTCTGTCATTGTCATGGTCATTTCCTAATAAATTTGTTATGGTTATTTTGCATAATGACGTGCGATGATACCCCAATCCAAACCATTTGTCGAAAAGTGCGACTATTTGGGTTATTGTTCGTTTATGGTATTTGTTTATTAGGGTTAGCACATAATCCATTCTAGATAGAACTGGAATTAGGACGTAACAGCTTTTGTAAACAATGTTTCTCTCGATGATTTCTCAAAAGTCATGGCTCTCCCTGGCAAATCGACTTCACCATCGGGTAGGGGAAGACTTCCCCTACTCGATGGATATGTTGGTTTGTGTAGGCGTGCCTTGAATTCCTAGAAATCCACAGGAGAAGTCATTGTTTACAAAGGCTGTAACGCCCTAATTCCAGCTCTATCTAGCATTGCAACCGAAATTAGCAAGACAAAACCTCTAGCGCATTGGGTTTGCATTATATTGAATTGATGTCTTTGGCAAAGTTTCTCGGTTTAACATGCACGTTCATCTGGTCATGGAAATTAGTTCCAATTTTCTCCGCATAGATGGTGCTGCGATACTAACTTTCTTATTTCGCATGATAGAGATTTTCTGTCTTGGGCAAAGTTGTAGAACATAAAATAATATATAAAAATGCCGAAGGACTCAAAGTTCTAGGTCTTCTAATAACAAAGAAATAGTGAATATTGTAAAATTTAACTGAAATTTACGTTTTTTGTACTATTTTCCATACAAACGAGAAATCCTTCATTTTTAACGCCGTCTATCTTTTAAGTCGAATAATTTGCAAGTTTTGAGAAAGAGTTTCCAATATTTTGGGTCGATACAAGAGAAATATTTGCCAAAATAGTGAAAATTACCATGATTTTCATAATCCGGTTTCTCAAAAAGTAGCAAGTATTAGCAAAAAGATGTTTACCTTCTGAAATGTACCATTTATCATCAATCAAAGGTGAAAGTTTGCCGAACATGCAACTAGCGAAGCATAAGAGACATATTCCATCGTTTCCATCGCACGCAGCCAGCAAGCCGTGCATTGGCGAACGCTAATTGAATAAACATTGTTGTCTATGAATTCAGATATCTCAAATATATAAAATAATATGTCCGGCAAACTTTCACCTTTGATTGATGATAAATGGTACATTTTAGAAAGTTAGCGACTTTTTGCTAATACTTGCTACTTTTCGAGAAACCGGACTATGAGAATCATGGTAATTTTCACTATTTTGGCTAAAATTTCGCTTGTATCGACCCAAAATATTGGGAACTCTTCCTCAAAACTTGCAAGTTATTCGACTTAAAAGATACACGGCGTTAAAAATGAAGGATTTCTCGTTTGTATGGAAAATAGTACAAAAAATGTAAATTTAAGTTAAATTTTACAATATTCACTATATCTTTGTTATTTGAAGACCTAGAACTTTGAGTCCTTAGGCATTTTTATATATTATTTTATGTTCTACAACTGCCGAACACAGCAAAGCTCTATCATGCAAAATAAGAAAGTTAGTATCGCAGCACCATCTATGCGGAGAAAATTGCAACTAATTTCTATGACCAGGTGAACGTGCATGTTAAACCGAGAAACTTTGCCAAATACACCAATTCAATATAATGCAAACCCAATGCGCTAGAGGTTTTGTCTTGCTAATTTCAGTTCCTGGCCCAGTGTGCATTGTTCGGCTTGAAATTAAGGAAGAAAAGAGATGTTTAAGTTTTCCAGTTCATATATATGAAATATGAACAGTTTTGGGGCGGCGAAATGTACTGTCACTGTGTGTTTCAAATACATTTCAAGCTGAACATTGCATTAGGTCCTAAGTAACATTGACAGATTCTCTTCGTCCAATGCAATGTTCAGCTTGATTTATGGTTGTAAGCTACAACCGGTATTATCAACAATCAATACGAAACTACACACTTAGATTTTTTTGCCGAGATGGGCACCACCGAGCGGCTCGGCATTT